GTCCTGCAGCCCCGGGGTCTGGCTCTCCCGGGGATTCAGCAGCTCCAGGGGCCCGGCAGCTCTGGGTGTACAAGAGCCCTGGGGTCTGGCAGCCTCAGGTGCCCAACAGCCCTGGGTGCCAATGGTCCCGGGGTCTGTCTGTCCTGCTGGCCTGGCAGTCCTGGGTGCCTGACAGCCTTGGGGTCCGGCTGTCCAGGGGATCCGGCTCTTGTCTAAGCTCCAGGAACATCCGATAGCTGTATGGTGAAAGCATGGATGGAGGACATCCCAACCACCTCCTGTGTGGTAGCACAAAGGCAGCTAAATAGCTGCATCAGTCTCCTGCTGAGTGCTGGCTGCATCCAAGGAGCTGTGGAAGGGTGTATGGAGACTGTGCATCTCCCGCTGAGCTGGGTCTGAGGGCCACACACCTCCGGGGTTTTCCTTGTGGATGTGGAGCCTCCATCACACTGGGCGTGGGTTGGGAGCATCCTTCTGGAGAGGATTAGGGAGTCCTGGGTGGTGTCCTGAGCACCTTCCCAGCCCTAGGATCCCTTCACCTAACAAAGAGTAGATGAGTTTGGTGGGTTCTCACCACCAACATCCTTCGGTGTTTGCTGTACATGGGGCTGATGCGCAGGAAAGGTTTCTCTCCTGCTCAGACAAGAGGTGGGAATGGGGAAGCCTCTGCTGGTCTTGCCGGTGGGAATTATTCTTTTTTGCAGTTACATCCTAATAAATGTGCATGTAAGAGTCTCACTGACCTCCCAATGCCCAGCCACGGGCAGTAGCTTGTGCAAAGTGCACAGATGGTTTCAAAACTGCAGGACTGCCCCCTGCCCATGTGCGTTCTTTGCATTGGCTTTCGGAGACTGCCCCAGAAGCCACCGACAACCTGCAGTTTTGACAGTCCGCATTTGTAACATCCTGGTTCAGCACGTTCTCTGGCAGGGTGCAGCGAGCCCAGGTGCCCTGTGGCCTTTGCGTGTGTGATGCCACAGCAGAGAGCAGCCAGGACCCTCCGTGGCATGAAGCTGGGAAGGCAAAGCCTAGGGCGTTCCTCCTTCCCGCTGAGTGACGTTGGCATCGGGCCACCGGTGGGGACTCGGATGGCAGCGACCTTGCCTGAGATTGCCTTTTCCCCATTCCCTGTGCCACGGGTGTATCAGCACATTGTGGCCGACATCCCACTGGCAGCATCCTTGGTGCGGAGGAAAAGGTCTGATGGTTTACCCAGTATAACCCACCAACTTTCCTTTTCAGACCTGAGCTTTCAAATGGGCTCGTGACCATTGGGTAGTCCTCCTTTTTCCCCTCTGCAGCCCCAGCACCTTTCACATTCCCCCAGACCCCTTCCACATGTGCCACAGCAGCAGCGGGAAGCAGCATCCCTTGCCCAGCTTCCCCTGCCTCCACATCCCTGTCTCCCAATTCACCCTGTCCTGCTCGCAGGACCTGTCTGGAGGGTGCCCAGAAACACGCGGGTGGCCCTGCTCGGCCCCCACGGCCAGGGGCGGAATGCCAAGCCCGTGGTGGCCCAGCTGCACTGATGTGTGAGGAGTTCCCTCGGGATGACTCTCAGCCCTGGGTTGAGCTCAGCATCCCTTTCTGTCTGGGTAAGCGGGTCAGGGAGGGAGTTCACTCCAAAGTTAGGCGGGAAGCCAGGCTTGGCAGTCGCATCCCCATGCCTCCCCGGGCAGCTGTGTCCACCTGGAGCTGTGGCCTCGCTCCGGCTGTTTCCATAACCAGGATTCCCTTCCTATCTGCTCTCTCCATCACCTTCCCGCTGTGCCGAGCATGTCTGGTGCTCCTCTGCCCCACTCCCGATGAGCCAGGGCAGGCTCGCACCACCACGCCTTTCCCACGCTGTTGCTTTGTGCAAGGATGTGTTTGATTTTGTCAGTTTTCTGGCTTCAGTAAACAGTTTTCTCTTCCTGCAGGCAGGCAGGCAGCAGATCCTGTGCTGCTCCGTTTTTACCGGGTCTAACCCACACCAGGGCAGGGGTTGGGCCGTAGCCGGGGAGATAAGCTGGTCCCTCAGAAGATGCTGCCAACTGGCAGCCAGAGGCTGGAGAAGCTGCTGAGGATGCTGCGGGGAGGAGGTGGAGTGAGGATTTACGGTGCTCAGGGGGGGTGGCATGGGTCGGGGCGGCGGGGTGCCCCCGGGGGTGGGGGTTTGCCCGCCCCAGGGGTATCACCCCCCCATCCTGCCGCTCCCTCTGGTGCCAGCGAGGCTGTTGCCTGTGCCAGCGCCCTGTGAGCACGGCATGATGCTTTATGCTTTCCATTACACCACCGTTTGCAGCTCCTTTTTCAGATTTCAGGCTGGAAATGCCCTGCCAGGTGCTTGCCTCCCATTGAACTGTGTTTTGGAAAATATCAGAGAAAAAAGAAACCCCGGCACTATAGTATTTCTGAACACAAAAACTAAGGAAAAATATGTTGTTTTGTCGATGGTTCAAAAATCCCTGCAGCTGTTTCAGCGGGCAGGACTGCACGGCAGGGCAGCGCGGAGTCATACAATACGAGGCACTCGTCACCATCCTGCCGGGACGCGGCCAGGCTCTGCTTCTTGGAAGAAGCCCCCGCTCACGTGTGCGCTCGGGCTGCTCACGGCATTTGAGCGCAAGGCTGCCGAGATGGTTGCTGCAAGGATATGGGCTCTTTCCCCTTGCAACTCCCCCTGCTGCTGTTGCCAGCATCCTTGCAAGCGAGCGCGTTGCAGCACGGGCTACCAGCATACCCGCCACTGTTTCATGCCTGCCTTTCCTTTGGAACAAGCAGAAAGCAGCTTCCAGCAGCAAGAGCTAAAACTGAGCAGGGTGGGGCAAGCCTGAGATATAGGGAGGGTTTTCTTGGGTCAATGCACCCAGAAATAAAAGGAGCCGTTGCTGTTTTCTGGCTGAGCATGGATAAAGGTTGCTGGGAACATGGGGATTTGGGGGGTTTCAAGGGCATCCAGTGCCCTGGGTAAGGCAGGAGGCAAGCACCCTGCCCCCTGCCCCCCATACACAGCCCCTGCAAACAGCAGCACACGCGCTGCAGAGGCATGTTGCGGAGCTGCCTGTAGGTGCACAAGTCCTTTCTGTCCTGGAAAGAGGGCTGGAGAGGGGGTTAACTCCAAAAAAGGGGGGAGGTCAAGATCAGCCATGTACAGATATACGAAGCTGCTGGCATGGAAGCTGCAACATCTGCTCCTGCAATAGCCATGCAGGTGGCCGGGGGTCTTTGCAGAAGCCTGCAGCAGATGGCAGCTGCTCACGCATCCAGCCAGCCCCGGGTCCAGCTGCACCAGCAGAGCTCAGGCCATGGGGCAGCAGAACGCTCCATGCCACTGCCGCAGCATCCTGCACAGGCTGGAGAGGCAGCCCGGTGCCGGGAGCGCATCTCCTCTCCTCCCCAAAATACCAGGAGCCCAGCTGCTGCCTGCTTCAGCACTGCTTTTATATAGCAGCAGCCCTGGCCCCGTGCTCCAGCCATGCTCCCTGCTGCTCCAGGTGTTTTTTAAGGCATGGGAGTTTCAGCTAGAGAAAAAGGCAGTAGGTGAAAATCTCTAGAAAGCCTAAACTTCACCCCGTTGGCTTGGGTGGCTTGCCAGAAGTGGAGAGAACAACCCAGGGAAAAAGATGCTGCCTTATAGCTGCCAGGCAGGGAAGCCCAGCGATACTCATGGTCCTGCAGAGCCCAAAATGAGTCGAGGAGAAACTGCCCCTAATTTGAGGCAGCGAAAGCCTGCAGGGTGCATGTCCCCCAAAAGCAGATCTCAGGGCGGGGAGAGGTTCTCTCACAGCTGCCACCCCCCCTTCATGAGCAGCAGGGTGCTGGGGCCAGCTGAGGGTGCTTCAGGGCTCCCAGCTTCCCTCAAGCCCATCATGGACAGCTCCACAGCTTCCCCATTCCCAGGCCCCGGGGAAGTTTGGCCTCACTCAGTGCAGCCATCTCTGGCTCCTTTCCCCCAGCCCTGGCCCTGGCTCAGGCCAAAGCGTGCAGCTAGAGGGGGCTGAGAGCAGGCACGAACGCCCCCCCCCTTTGAGAGCAGGGTAGTGAAGCAGAGCCCAGGGACAGAGAGCTGCCCAGTAACTCCAAGAAAGAGACAGGAGCAAGAACAGTTATGATTTAATCATCACCATTCTCTACAAATCCAGTGTACGGCAGAGCTGAGCTGTGGTCCGGCTCCTGGTGCTCCCATGTGGCCACCACCCCTGCCTGCAGCAGACCTGGTCCAGCATCAGAGCTGGGGACTGTGGGCAGGGCAGGAACAGCATGGGGATGGGGCCGGCCAGCTCCTCTCGCCCCTCCTGCCCCACTGGACGTGTGCCTGAGGATGGACAACCCTGGGCAGCTTTGGCTCTGCTCAGGGCGGTGGGATGGGGGGAGAGCCTGGTCCTGCCCAGGACCTGCCCAGCTCTGGTCTGTGCAAAACTGGTGAGCAGCCAGGTAGTGGCTGCCCTGGGACAGGCGGCAGGGACTCATCCTGCCCCTGCCCAGTGATCCTTCACGGGTCACTGCGGCCTCTGCTTTGGCATCTGCCTCCATGGAGCTGGAAGAGACCAAGCCCCAGCCCTGGCAGAGGCTGGAGGAGCTTTTGGCTGAGGCCAGCTTGTCCCCGAGCCACCCAGCCCGCCCTGGACCTGAGCCTGTGGCACAAAGCAGGCAACCAAATCCCCCCGTGCAATCCCACAAGGGGAAAACCCTGGGACAGCATTCACCAACGTGGGGGAAGCCTGGCAGGGGAACGCCAGCATCTCTCTCCCCAGGGACAGCCCAGGGCAAGCACAGCTCAAGAGCCCCTGGGATGGCAGAGGGACATCCCTCAGGGCAGTGCCAGCAGGGGCAACCCTACAGTAGTGACCTCCAGAAGGTGTCTGTGGTTCAAACAGCAACAAGGACGCTTCCCCTCCCAGGGCAAAGGGTGCTGGGGGGGGGGAACTGCAGCAGAACTAGGACAGGGAATGGCAATAGTGGTTATAGGTGAAGGCACGAGAGACCCCGGGCGCTGCCCGCGAGGAGCAGCCTCTTGACGTCCCTCCAGAGGAGGTCCCGCTCCCGGTTCGCCCTCTGGACGAAGCCCCTGTTCTCCTGGGCTCTCCGGGACAGGTAGGGCAGCACCTCGTTCACTGGGCCGTAGGGCACGTACTTGTAGACGGGGAAGCCAGCCTGACCTGGAGGGAGAGAGGCCGGTCAGGGAAATGCCAAGAAAGGAAAAGAATGGAAAAAGGAAAAAAAAAAA